GGGAAGCTGCTGCAAGGCCATGCAATATTCACTTTAAAGTGTCTCCACGGAGATTCGTGGCAGTATTTCCTGACCTGTGAAGATACACTTTGTGTTCCTTTGAGTAGTTACTTAAGGTAGGTCACGTTGTAAAGGAGGCTGTGTGTTTGGCTGGTTATATTCTGGTTTCACATTTGTGAAATGGCATGGACTAAATGGAATTGCTTTTGAATCGTGCATGGATAGCTGATCATAGGTGGTGCCCCAATAGGTCATACTCTGCTTTTGGCTGCAGTGTAAATCCACAACATTGCACTGGCTTCATTAAAATGTTTCTGGACTATTCTGTTGGCAGAGTGCTTCAGCGATGCAGACTTTCCCTGTATTTGTGTGGTCTTTTTAATGCACATAAAAGATAAGTGCAGCATTTTTTACTGACTAATTCCCCTATAACTTTCTTAGATGGCATGAAAGGGCATGAGGTTATTCATAAGATTCTCATTTGAAGTAAGTAATTGATTTTCACAGTGAATAATTGATTCAGTGATTTATTAAATATGGCAGCCCTTTGCCAGAATTTTTTATGCTTCAAATAACTTTGCTCTAGTTCTACATAGTAAAAAGTGATAGTTAATAATACACTTCTCATTTCTGTGGTTATGATATCTTTAAAGTGTATAGCTGCGATTCTAATCTCATCTGCCTTTGTGTAAATTTACAGTGCAGTGATTCTGCTCTTGTCTAGGCGTTTACTTTGCTTTAAAAGTGTACATGAGATTGGAGATGGGACTGCTGAAAGGACAACAGTCCGAGTTGCTTCTACTCAGTGTTTTCTAACTCTTACCATCCGTCTTCATTCCTGGTCAATTTTAAAGGGCTCACATGGTTGGGATTTCCCCCTTTACTTTGGGAGGTAAGAAAGCTCTGTCTCCCCAGTGGCTCAAGGTATGAAACAGCAAGTGGATGTGTTAGTATGCCTGGCGAGATAGGTCTCAAAACTGGCTGCTTGTCAAGAAGAGACAGATCAATCTGGATCTCTGTGGATGCCAGACGCTTCCTGTTCTTTCATAGCCCAGTAAACATAAATGACTGCTGCTAAATAAATTACATTGGTTTACTAACAATGAAAACCACCTCTTTTTGTAAAGCTATCAGCGTCCTAAAGGTATTACCAAGCGTGGTGTGGTACTGTGTTATTGTGCATGCTTCCCTTTAGGCACATAGTCAGGGGGTCAGCGTTTTGCCCTGTGTTTGTGCAGTGCCTGGGTACAAAGGGGTCCTGGCGTGGCACTGAGGCTCCTTGTACCACCGGTGCCCCGTAAATTAGGACTGCAGGAAGGTGGTGTCTGTCACAGAGCCACGTTCAGCCTGGGTGGGTCTTTTTGGAGCAATGAAGGGTCAGTGTTTCCTGAACAAGTAGTGCAAGGGAGGGAAAGATGGGGCTCAGGCCGAAGAAATTGAGAGGTGGAAACATCGAATCATAGAGTGGTTTGGGTTGGAAGCGACCTCAAAGATCATCTAGTTCCAACCCCCCTGCCATGGACAGGGACACCTTCCACTAGACCAGGTTGCTCAAAGCCTCATCCAACCTGGCCTTGAACACTTCCAGGGATGGGGCATCCACAACTTCTCTGGGCAACCTGTTCCAGTGATTCACCACTCTCAGAGCAAACAATTTCTTCCTTAGATCTAATCAAAATCTACCCTCTTTCAGTTTAAAGCCATTGCCCCTTGACCTATCACTACATGCCCTTATAAAAAGTCCCACTCCAGCTTTCTTGTAGGCCTCCTTTAGGTACTAGAAGGTCTTGCTGGAGCCTTCTCTTCTCCAGGCTGAACAACCCCAACTTTCAGCTTGTCTTCACAGGAGAGGTGCTCCAGCCTTCTGACCATCTTCGTGGTCCTCCTCTGTACCCAATCCAACAGGTCTGTGTCCTTCTTATGTTGGAGGCCCCAGAGCTCAATGCATTACTGCAGGTGGGGTCTCACGAGAGCAGAGTAGACAGGGAGAATCACCTCCCTTGACCTGCTGGGTCACAGTTTTTTTAATGCAGGCCAGGATATGGTTGCCTTAACATGATATTTGGCAGCTGAGAGACTAGAGACGATGCAGAGGAAAAGGATCTCTTGGTAGCAGTAGTGGGATGATGCAAAGGGTAAAGGGTGGAAGAAACATACCAAGAGATGGTTGGCAGCAGGAGGATCACGTGTCCAGGAAATACATCTGCTAGTCCTATGAAGTGTCTTAAAAGGCACCAGATTGTACATATATTCAAATGAGGGTTTAATGGGGCCTGCTTATTCCCAGCGAGTGTGCCTGTCTTAAATAGGAAGGTTAATCAGGAAAAGCTAAAGATGCTCCATGATGGCCAGTGGTTAATGAAGTGGACTTCATTACATGTCATGGCTTAATGGCATTCAGCTCTGTCTGGACTAGTAAGAGTTAAACTCATTTCATCACCATGATCAAAGATTTCTGCTTGTGGTAAATAAATGCTTCTGGCCAAGCTCTACTCCAGGGAGATGAAACTTGCTGGGCCCTACTTTCTTTCTGTATTGACTTGTGGCTCTGTCTCACAGCTCTAAATCAACAAATTCACTGTGGTTTGGGGCAGACCCCAAGGCAAGAAAAAAGAAAAATTGTGGACAAAGCCTGTGAAGAGCAGGGAGTGTGGGTCAAGCCACTCATAGCATTAAAGACAAGGGATGAGACCAGGGTCCTGTAAGAGAACTAGATATGACTGAGAAGTGCTCAGTCTGTTCAAGCAGTCTCTTTTGGATGCTACAGCTTTCCTTGTGGAGCCAGGATCCCACTCCAAGCCAACATTTGGCATGGCTGTGTCAGTCTCAAAGACAGTGATGGGGAATTGTTTTGGCAGGACTTGACAATCTGTTCCTCTCCGGGGCGAGCAGGGCCTCAGGCTGTGCCACCTGAACCTGATGGCTGCCCACACCAAAGAACGTGTCGTCCCTGTTCCTTTGCTTAGCAGACCCTAAACTACAGCTTTGCTCTGTCTCAGGCTGGTTTCCTTTGGTGTTGTGCATGTACCTATTTTTTTTCACTAGCCTTTTCTGAGGGATTTCTGAAAAATGGGTCAATATTCCCCATAGATGCTGTTCACTCATGCAGATCCATTGATAAATGAACTTTTTCTGCTGCTTGGCTGCCTCCCCTGCTGTCTGTCGCAGGCCTAGCCTTACTAGGACTGCTTATAACATCCTCGATCCCATGACTGCTTTCAGATAAAATGCAACTGCCCAGGGAAACATGGGGGTTTTGTGTGTTTTACTCCTCTTGAGACCAGATTGTGGCTGTAACTGAACACATCACTGTGGGTTTGTTTTGTTTTTGTTTGGTGGTTGTTTTTTTCGGTGATATTTAATCTGTGTGCGTCAGCTGAGACCTTGGCTGACATCCTCTGCCCTGGATAAAAGCAGAGGCTATTATCAGCCTGGTCTTAGAGATGGTTTGTGCCAGCTCCTTCCGAGTTTGGGCCAATGGGCTCTTGAATGAATGGATTTAGAATATCAAGCCCTTGGAAAGAGTCTTCCTAGTGCCAATCGGCACAAAAGTAGGACTGAGTGGAGTCCTCTAAAGCCAAAACTTGGTGAGAAGGCTCTTTGGCGAAACATGCAAGACCTGTCTGTGTGCTCAGCCACATTGATAATTTTAGCAATTAGTTTCCTCATCTCTTCTGTTCAGTTAGAGATGGGTAGGGACAGTGTGGGGTTGGGTTGCTGGGTTGACGCCAGCCTTGGATCCCTAGCCAGCTTCAGAGGCCTAAATTCATTAGGGAAGCAGCTGCTTATGGCTTTTGTGCATTGTTTACTTACACTGAATACCTGATTTTTTTTTTTTTTCCCAGACTAGCTTATTGCTACCTCTGAGGTCTGCTGGGGAATTAGGTTCTTAGTAGGCAAGAAAATCAGGTCTTAGTCTGAGGCACCAGGTTTTGCAGACAGTAGGATGCAAAACTGTCTTCACAGCAAACTTGCAGAGTCATTGGTGTGCTCCCATTTGGGATTTCTTGTAATGCAGAGCAGTTGTAAATTCCCTGATGATGCATGAATTTTTTTATCAGCACCTGTTCTGGGGAGTGACATGACTCTCCTGAGGATCCACTGTTAGCATTTTATGCCAAAGTAGAAACATACAGAATGAATGAAGGGCAATGGGTATTCCTTGTACTGTCTTAGCACTTGGAAAGCTGGGACCAAAGGCTGGTTGTTGCAGAGGAGAAGGAAACACAGAATAAAGAGGTACGTCCTGCTTCAGTGAGTTTACAGCCTAATCGTAACGGGAGAAGACACAGAACATGCTCTCCTGTCTCTGTCTGGAGTTAATAGTTCCACCACAAAATTAATTCCTACTTCTGTATAACCTTTCTCGGTGAAGTTTCTCTCCTCGGTGCCCAGCCTTCTCTTCGTTACCCCTGCTGCAACTCACAGGAGTGTGGGGAAGGGAGCACCTGCGAAGTGTTTTGCCTGAGAGGCAAACCTGATTCTGCTGGAGCAGATGCTCATCATGAGGCTGTTAAGCCTTCACAGGCCCACCCAGTCACTCCAAGTACGCTGGAATTGTAGCTCTCCATGTGATATGTATAATTCAGTGGCATTACAGCTGGGATTGGTTTTGCCCCAAGTGCATAACACTTCTCCTCTAAAATGTACTGCTCTCAGATATTCCTTATTGTTTAACGCAGAGTTCTAATTATTTTTGAAATGGCAAATGTGGTACATAATTTATTGGAAAGACTGAGAAAACCCTAGCAGAGATACAGAATACAGAGGGAAAAAAAATGGGTCGCTTACGAGAGCTCAGTATGATTTTACAGTATAAACCTGTGAGTTTGAAATGCTGAAATTAGAGCTTGAATCACTTCAAAGATTCCTGCTAATAAGGG